CCGCCCCTGAGCCACTGGCCTGTACACCAGTTCTGTATGCACAAATGAATAAATCTTTTTAAAAAAAAAAGTATTACTAACTTTAAAAAAAATACTAGTTTCTATGGAAACAATATATAAAAATATCTACTAGTTTCTATGAAAACAATAACTTTTTTTAAAGACTTGTTTATTTATGCTTACAGAACTGGGGTACAGGCCAGAGGTGCAGGGGGTGAGAGGACTCACCAGAGTCAGAGTGGGGAGCAGAACAGGCAGATTGACAAAGCACATTGCTGAGGGGAGCAGCAGGTGGGTCAAGAGAGGTCTGCCGGCCAAGTGGGTCAGCTCCTTGGCTGGAATCCAGCTTGTGCTGCAGTGGTTGTGGAGAGCTTCATAATGTGGTGTGTTAACCCGTTGCACCACCAGTTTACCATTGCTTAGCTTGAATGTGAATGTAAACATTATGATTCTTTTCCTAATATTTTGCTTCATGGATTTTTTAAAATTTGTTTTTCTTACTTCAGTAGAGCAAAAAATAATTTTTGGAAGGTTTATTTTCTTTATTTATGCATACAAGAGCTGGGTTGTAGGCCAGAGATACAGGGGTGACAACATTCACCAGACAGAGTAGGAAATAGAACAGACAGATTGACTGAAATACACTGCTGTGGGGAGCTGAAGGTAAGACAGGAGAAGTCTGCTGTGCCATGTGGGTCACCTCCCTGGCAGGGACTCAAACTCCTGCTGCTGTGGTTACACATAGCTTCATAATACTGAGACTTGAACCCCTTGCAACAGCAGGGAGGCCCTAGAGCAAAATTTCTAATTGAAATTAATAAAAATTGTTTTAAGAACTATAGTAAGCCAAGGAAGTTTATCCAAGATGGTATTACTATCTGTAGAATATAAATGCTATATCTTGATGATAACAATACAGATATGGGATATATGTTATAATTTATGAACTCAGTATATATTATTAATCATTCAAATATCAGTAAACTATCAACAAACATTTAGACATGCTCAATCATAATTTGGTTGTCCTTGATATTTTGTAACTTTCAGTACCGTAAAAGCTATAGATTTTTATGTATCCTTTTTAAGAAACAAAGTTTATCTTTCACTGAATGCTTATTATTTTTTTCCTATGGAAGAATAGTAAAAGTCTAAAATGTTTCCAGTGAACAACTGTTAATGAAGAGAATAGAAGTAGAAAGTAGTGCCCTTTGTTATCTTTCAGTATATGACTATACACTCAAATAAAAACCAACTTAAAACGTTGTGAAAAGACTTAATGTGCTCTTTTATCATTATTATAAGTGGTAATTTCAATACTTGATCAACTGATTAAGGCAGTAAATAGATTCTTCAAAATAAAATACTGGTGGCATAGAAATCTTATCATATTTTGATATTAAATCATGACTAGCAGAACTAAAAAATGCTGATTTTCTATTTATAGTAGATGTGTGACATTTTGTAAAACTGAATTCACTTTCATTTCTAATGATTTTTAAAGGAGATATTTTCATTTTTGCAGGAATTTTTAAATTTTTTAATATAAAGATCACATAATGGTTTTAAGACCAGTACAAAGCATTTACTAACATTTTAACATATCCTACCATTTTCTCTATCTTCATGCACACATATGTATATGTTTACACAGATACACTTTCCTTATTTCTTTAGTGATCATTATTGGGCAAAACAGTAATTGTTTTCTGCTCTACTGAGCCCTAAGATTGAGATTCAGATTTCAATCTGAAATGCAGATTCCCATCCCCAAACCAGTGAGTCTGCATCGGTAGAGGTGGAGCATATCTGCATTTTAACTAGCACCCAAATAATTCCCACTGAGCAGCTCTAAGCCCACCTTTGAAATACTGTATTAGGGAATTCTCCATCTTTAGGTGTTTTGCTTGGTTGATTGGTTCTCTTTGATCTCCCAATAAGAACAGGAAAAGGGAGCAGCTCATTTTTTAGTTACAGTTAATTCTAAAAGAATGAATAAAAAGGACTCAGAAAAAAAAGTTAAATTGACTAAATCAAAGAAAGAAGGGAGGAAAAAGGAATGTGACATTCTGTGATTCCAAAAGACGATAGAGATAAAGGGAAGCAGGTAAGAGAAAGCACTTAAGTTGTTCTTTTATCACTTAACAAATAGCTAGCACTATGCAGGTGCTGAAATTCAAAAGTGCCTTTGTCGGCAGGGCTCACCCACTCGGAGTTTACAATGTAGAGTGAGCTGAAGCAGGTACAAAGATACGATGGGAGGCCTCCCAAGTGGTCTATGTTAAAAAGTCGCGCTCTCATTGCTTCATCCAGAGCTCCATCCCCCGGCAGGAAGCTGACCCACGTGGCATAGCAGACCTCCCCACTCTCGCCCGCTGCTCCCCTCAGCAGTGCACTTCAGTCAATCCGCCTGTTCGGCTCCCCACTGTCTCTGGGGTCCTCTTACTTACACACACACACACACACACACACACACACTCCCGCCCACCTCAGGTTTACACCCTAGTTCTCCTACACAAAAGAGAAGGCAGAAGAGGGGCTCTCAACCCAAGCTTGGAGAACTCAATAAGACTTCTGGGACAACTCCAGGAGATAAATCCTGGAAGGGACAGAAGGGTCCCAGAGCAAATTTATTTTATGTAACTTTTAAACGTCCTCCCACCCCACTCACCCCCACCCCAACACTTACGAAAATGATATGTATGCATTATGAAGCAAGTGTGATCCTCCCTGCTCCTGTTCGCCATCACTCCTATGGAATATTTGCCCAGGAGAGTTGAGTTGCGCCACACTGAGCTGAGCGTCGGTCCTCCGGCCAGTGGGGGGCGACAAGCCACACGCAGCGTTGCTGGCGTGCTCTCGCTAGCACACGTCGCTCGCGTGATTGTCGGCGCTACATACTGCGCTTGCGCTCGGGCTGAGGCCTTTTTTCCCCCCTGCCGAAGTGCTGCCGGGCCTGCACTTCTCTGGCAAGTCGCAGACTCTAGTGTCTGCACCGCAAAATGGTAAGTGATTATCTGAAGTTCGAGGTTGCGGACCCACGGGGGTTCCCTTTCTCTGCCCGAACGCTTGCCTGGGCTCCGTCTCGCGCGGCGCTGGGCTCGGATGGCATTAGATTGCCGGCTCTGCCATGATCTGGCTGCCGCTCCCAGCGTGGCCTTAATGGCTGCCGTCCGGCGCCTAGCTTTGAGGGGGAGGGGCTGAGAAAGCAAAAGTTGGGGAGACGGTTTGGGAAGAGGGGCGAAGTTAGTAGACAAGTTAAGGGGGTGCAGTTGTCCTGAGGGTGCACCGCCGGCGGGCGGGAGAAGGAGGGTGCATACAGCCGATCACAGGCTGAGGTCACAGGCTGCGGCTCCTCGGCCTTAGCTCCACTGCTTAGTGGTTTTCTCGGAGCATGGGTTCGGGCGAGTCTTTTAGAAAACGTGTCGTTAGGGCGAAAATTGGCTTTTAGGGCCAAAGCGTTAGTGAGACCCAGGGAACTGTTTTCTCTGGCCCCGAGAGGAAGCTCGCGTAGTTTGGTACGCGCCCATTAGTTCGGGAGCCTGTGGTTGGTGGCCGTTTCTAATCATTATGGGGGTGGCATGTGCTTGGTGGGGGACGGTACGTTTTTAATCGGGACTAGTCGCTGACAGTGCCTTTGACCAGTTGAGATTTATGGTCCATAATTTAGACTTTGCAAAAACGCTCTTGGAAAACAAGGGAAGTAGGTAGCTAGTTTCTTAAATACATTGTGAACAGACTGACGTGTGCACAATCGCTGTTGTCGGGCGTTGCTTTGCCAAACTGGTTCGGAAGGGGGAATAGGGTGCAGAAGGCAGTAATTGAGCCAAACCTTGAGAACAATGTGATGGTTTTTCACGTGGTGACTTTAAGAAGAAATTGACTAGCATTTTGTTTTTCCCATTTTTAAAAACCAACGATTCACGATTGTGTTTTTTTCTTGAATATTGTGTTTTATAAAATCTCAGTTGTGGCAGATCACGATTCAGATAGTTTGAAAAACCCCAGACTCTACAAAAGTGACAGTTGTTATTACACCTGAAATGTCCAGAATGTAAGAAATGAAATTCCAATAACATTCTTTTTTCTTAAAGGGGTTTGTAAAAGTTGTCAAGAATAAGGCCTACTTCAAGAGATACCAAGTGAAATTTAGAAGAAGGAGAGGTATGATAAGTTTTTCTTGTTGACAGTGTTAAAGGAATCAGTTTTTCAATGGAATAGGCTTTTCTCTAAAACTTTTATTTTCTGTCTCCCCTGCAGAGGGCAAAACTGATTACTATGCTCGAAAACGCTTGGTAATCCAGGATAAAAATAAGTACAACACACCCAAATACAGGATGATAGTTCGTGTAACCAACAGAGATATCATTTGTCAGGTAAGATTTATTGAATAAAGCCAACCCCAACCCTTTAACCACTGTGCTAGGGAAGTTGTTCTTGGGAATCCAGAAAACATATCTATGTGTTAGAAAATCCATCTGATCCTGGTGATTGGCATTCCATAAACTTTGAAGTACTACTTTTCCTTTTAGAAGGTCTGAATTTGGAGCCTAAGAAAATGATACTTTAAAAAAAAAAAAAACTTAAATATCAGCAATATTTGGCAGTCCTGACCCAGTTTAATCCATGCATTTTCTGACTGGGGTAAGGGTTGGCGGGGGATGAGAGTTTGCTCCCAGAAACCAGATTTTTGTAACTAGGCAAAGTTTTCATAGTCCAGAGACTTGCTGAACAAACCTTAATTTGTAGAAGGCAGGCACACCTTTTTGCTTTGCAAAGTAGTTATTTAATGAAAGAAAAATCTCCCTTCATTAAGTGTGGATACCTAAACATTAGGTAGATGAAACTGTTGGGTTTAATGTATAATGCTTAGGTCAAAAGATGATTTTGGTTCTTTAGAGTACTCTTTTAATTCACCAGCTGACTCAACTAAGTCTCTTCAGTATTTTAGAGGGAGCTACAGCTTGACGTCTCCCAAAAGTTTTTAATATTCAGTGATTGATAATTTAAACATTAATACATTAGGCATTTATAAAGTAATACTAAATATATTTTCTGTAATTGACCAAGCCATAAACTGTAGTTGAATGGGTTTACAAAGACAGCATTTACATGATGGGGTTCTATCTCATTAAAGTTCTTTTTGAAAGGAGACACGAAATCAAACTGAATTGCTAACTTTGTTTTTTCTTAGATTGCCTATGCCCGTATAGAAGGAGATATGATAGTTTGTGCAGCCTATGCTCATGAACTCCCCAAGTATGGCGTGAAAGTTGGTCTGACAAAT